ACTCATGAGATTTCAAATTGTGACCAAAGAGTTTAATCTTGCTCTACAAATTTATGTAAAGCCTAAGGGATGTCATTTTGGAAAGAAAGCTGACATGAGTTAAGCACGTGGCCTAATGTGGCAAGCTGTTTCCTCTGTGGCAAACAGACAGGGATGGGCAGTAAAAATTTGTTACTAGACAGTTTTCAGGTGGATGAAGGTGTTGACTTATGATACCATCACACAATAGTGCCAAGAGATGGGGAGGCACAAGAATACAGAGGCAGGGGTCAAGTAAGAAAGGAGGCAGCAGGCAGCACAGCTCCTTCAGACAAGGTTAAACCAACTGGAAAACGAGATCTTCAAGCCAAGGGGCTTAACACCCTGCTACTACTCAAAAGGCTTACCTGGTTTCTAAAGCTTCCAGATCTTCACCAAGGATGTATGGATTTTTGGTCAGGAATGGTCCCAGCTGATTGTCTTCTACACCCACATCCTTAAGAAACAGAAGTATTTTTTTTACATCTTTTTCAAAGTCCAAGGTCAGTAAGAGCTGACCTGCCTTTTGACGTTTCTCCACTTGGGATAAGTCAACTCCTACAACAAACAAAATTAGAAGTTGTTTTAATTAAACACAGACCCTGCTTTCTGTAAGTGTTTCCCAAAGGCATGCTGGAATTTATAGGACTACTCAATTCTTTGCACTGATTTTGCATACTTTAATTACTCAACATAGCAAGGCTATGCCACCTTGTATATTGTGGAAAGACTCCAGATAAAATAAGCAGTCATTTTAGAAGCTTTTGCTGAGTTTATTTTTTGAAGAAAGACATTTGCAGTGAATCCTGCATGTGCCACACTTAGAGACCTGCTCTTGTTGCACAGAAGTATGTGTGCATGAAATTTCCAAATCTATTATAAAAGGGAAGATGATTTTTGCAGTGAAGTGACTTTGTATACTGACTCACATGTGACAATTTCTTACTACATTGAGACAGATTCCCCCTCTCAAATATTAATTTCTCCAACCTCCTTCTAGTCTTCCTTGCATGTTTGGGCAACATGGTGGTGAGAAAGCTTGAACATGGGTATCTCTGTACTCCAAGTGGTTTTTTTGATGAGAAAGAAGGTTCTTGTCAATCCTGCCCCTTGCCTCTCCAGTGTGCTGTGCCTCACTCCTAATGTTATGTATGGCAACCATCCTCTTTCCTTCCTTCCAAGGATGAAGAGCTGCACCTTGTTTTGCAGCAAATTAAAGCATCCTTAACCAGCCCAAAAGAAGAAAGACCAATTAAGTTACACAGTGATCCCCACCTCCTGAAGCTGTGGGAGATGCCTCCTTCCAACACCCACAGCACTCAGGGACTAACACCAGCCTGTTTCCCAGTAGCGTGGCATTGCTAGTGACACAGTCCCTTTTTTGTCCATTTACCCTGGATAACATTCTGCAGCTTTTTACCATTGGTCACTGTTCCCATCTTCAAGTTTATGAGATAACCAGTAAGAGCAAAGCAGAAATTACAGATCTCCAAGGCTCCTGCTATAGAAAGAGCACACAAACAAAATCACACATACCTAGGTGGACAAGTTTTGCAAGGGTTTCTGAGTGATCAACATAATCTCGGAGCGTGGAAGACTGAATGGGGAGAAGTGGTTCTGCAATGATCTGTACAGCTTCTTCCTCAGAAATCAATTCCAAAGCAGATGAAGGTGGGATGTCATCCCAGTCTGAGAAACAAATACAGAAGACCCAAATGTCTTTTTTTTGTGAAAGACAAAGCTGCTCCCACCAAATGCTATACGTATCTCTTAAAATCCTTTCCAAAATGCAGGAACACTGTGCCATGTGATAAACAGCCAACCTATTATTTGAAAACATAAAAACATAGACTCTGCTCTCAGTTTTTGCCTCTGTTCCACCTCCTGGTCACTGCCTCTCAACTTTTACTCATATGGCCAAATCTGAGAGTAGTACCCAGCAAGCCTGCCTTCAGTGTGCTGCCCAGACCGCTGCAGACAATAGATCATACCACCCTCTGAAAAAGGATTGTCTTTCATGTCTTCACAAATGTATTCTTGCCTGATCACAGCCAGATAAAAGGCTACTACAAAGACTATTTTTCATAACCTGACCAGCCCACTACTTTGTGGTTCTCCTGAATATGATGCCTGAAACACAGCTGTTTTAACTTTCAATGTATTTCATAGCCAGCTCCAGCCAAGCTATTCTGCCTTATCCATTAGAGAAAGGTAAAGCTTACTGCCACTATCTCTAATAGCAAAATGAATAGCTTCCTACTCACTAAGGTTTCAAAGGGAACATCATTATGCTTGTTTTCCCTTAAGTGTTCCAAGTCACAAAACTCAGTGTCTTTAAAAAACAAATTCTCTAAACAGATCTATTTTTCCATTGATAGGAGCTCACAGCAACAAGATTAAGATTGCTGTTTGCAGGCTGACTGCTAGCATCCACATCAATCATCAATTTGATTACTGAACAGATGCCCTGATTATAAACTCTTCAGGAAGGGGATTTTCAGTGCTCTGTATCTTTGTATAATGGCATCTGAGAGACCAGGGTAACGCTCTTCCAAGTCAAGAAACAAAGGCACACCAGAACTCTACTAAAGTAATTCCAAAGTAATTAGGATGTGCCTAATGCTCCAGGAGGAGTTGCACAGACTAGTCTGATAGCTGTTGAAGGTGTTGTCTTTTTCTCACAGCCTCAGAAACAAAAACACAGTAAAATGTTTTCAGCAACATTTACACATTGAACAGGAACTCTCTAGGAATCTATAAGAATATCAAGTGGTGTTTTTCAACCTGTTGAGGACCAAACCAATAAAGTCCATTCCAGACACATGCATGTCTTTTATTGTCACTTTAAGGTCCTTACACTTCCTATTGGGAATCATACTTCAAGTTACCAAAACCCACAAAAATTATCAATTATGTTTATTCCGTTATATAAACTGACAACTGGGAAAAATGCTACACACACACACATTCTCCAGTCAGTCTGCTGGCAGATAAAAACCTGGCAAAAGGATAAACTGCCTCGCAGGTGCAGGCACACACCAGCTGCTGACCCATCACTTTGGTGCAGCACTGGGTCAGACCCAGCTACACACACAGATCTCTGGGGCAGGCCTGAGCCACCCCAAATAACAAGCTCTGTATAATCCAGGCTGGCTGGGCTCAAAGCAGAGTCTGAACATACAAGGCTGCTCAGTAATTCAGAGCAAATTTCCTCAGCATACACAAAGTAATTGGAAAGGATGGAAATATTATAATCCTTGTTTAGATGTAAAAATAGGGGAAAAAAGTGAGTAAATTTCCTCAGGGCAACAACACCAAGGCGCTGTATTTATCTCCCTTTGTGTCCTTTCGTCAGGAAACATTTGGGCAAGCATTTCTCATCAGAGCAGTGCTTAAGGAGGCTTCACACCACTGCCTCCTGTTGGTCATTCCTGATCCCTCAAACCGTGGAGTGCGAGCTGCTTCAGGCGAGCAATCTCCCTGCCTCGCTCAAAATAAGAAGTAAAAAAAAACCCAAGAAAACAAAACCGCAAAAAACAAAACAACCAAAAAAAGAAAAAAAAACCACCCCAAAACTAGACCAAAAAAAACCACACCAAAAAAAAAGAAAAACACAAAAAACCCCCCACACAAAAAATTAAAAAAACCCCACCAAAACCCAAAAGAACTCAAACCAAAACCCTTTAGTTTGTACCACCACATCTCTGAGGGAAAGGCAAATGCTCAGCAAATACAGGTAGGGTTATGAAAACTCCTTCAACTGGCAGCTCCAGACCTACATTTTCACCCAAAACATTATAGCTTTATTTCACTTTAAAGGTATTCTTTGCATGCCACATCGACCATAACTATCTGAATTAACCACCGAGCTAATCAGAAGTGAAACTCAGGAACTCCAAACACATATTTCAGGCAAACAGGGCAAAAAAGGAGAACCCAGTTGGGGTTAAACCGCAGCATACCGAAAACATAATTTGAGGATCCCTTAAAGCCTCTTACCTTCGTCCAGTATTTTTGCATTCAGATCAGGCAGTATTTCTGCTTTTGCTTGTTGCTGTTGCACTGAAGGCAGGTTACTCTCGGGAGAAGAGCGGGGTCCATCCTCGGCGCTGTCGGGCGGGGAACAGCTCCCGAGGGACACCGGCCTGCCCGCCTGCAGCCGGCCCAGAGCCGCCGCCTTCGCAGCGGGCAGCACAGCCCGCGGGGCAGGCCCTGGGCAGGCCGGGCCGGGCAGCACAGCGCCGAGCCTCCGAGCGGCACGGGCCGTGCTCAGCAGGCAGCCCCAGCGGGCGACGTGCCGAGCCCACAGAGCCGTCATGCCCCTCAGCGCAGCATCCTGCGGGCACAGGAAGGCGGCGGAGTGGCACCGGCGCTGCCCCGCCTCGCCCTGGAGCCGGCAGCGTGAGTGCCCCGGCGCTACGGCAGCCCCTCTGCAAAGCACCACCCAGCTGCCGCCCGGCTTCAAACGCGCCGCAAACGGAGGAGCCGGGTCTGAGCCACCGCCCGCCGCCCTCTAGGACGGCCGTTCCCTTGGGGGCATTCCCAATTCCCTTGGGAGCACGGGGGAAGCCCAGCCAGGACCTAAACCCTCCCAGGAGCACGGGGCCCTCCGCGTAAAGCCGTGACTCGCCACAGGGAGGGGAGGCTGAGTCGGGCCGCGCCCGCCGCGCTCCCTTCGCAGGGCAGCCACTGCACGCAGCCTACGGGAGAAGGAGCAGTGCCGCCCGGCCCGGGAGCGGCGGGACCCACGGGGGCCTCACCTGCGTCGCACGGCCCGGCACGGCACGGCACGGCCCACGTGTGCGCCCCGCTCCGGCCCGGCCCGGGCGATACCACTCGGGAGGAAACGGGGGGGGAGCAGGCAGCAGCGTCCTTCTCTCCGCGTGTTGTAAAAGGGCGGTGTGGCGCCGCCGCCCCCCTCCCGCGCTCCGTTGCTCTCTCCCTCCCTCGGCTCGTGGGCGCGGCAGGGCGAGCTCCGCCCCTCGGCGCGGCGGGCGCGGCGCGGCCCCGCTCGGCTCCGCTCGGCGGGACGCGGCGCGGCCGGGCTGGTTCGGGCCGCGCCGCCCCGCGCAACCACAGCCGCGCTGAGACCAGGGGACAGAGGGGGCGAGATGGCGTCGTGCGTGGGGAGCCGGACCCTGAGCAAGGACGACGTAAACTACCGCCTGCACTTCCGCATGATCAACGAGCAGCAGGTGGAGGACATCACGCTGGAGTTCTTCTACCGCCCGCACACCATCACCCTGCTCAGCTTCACCATCCTCAGCCTCATGGCCTTCGCCTTCACCAGGTGCGCGGCCGCCGCGGGGAGCCGCAGCCCCGCCCCTGGGTGCCGGCAGCCCCGGGGGGTCCCGGGCGGGGGATGGCGGGGGTCGGTGCCCGGCCCCCCGAGCCGTGCCGAGCCGTGCCCTGGTGCGCTCCCCGGGCCGGCGCTGCACCGCCCGCGCCCCCTGCGCGGCAGGCCCGTGCTGGAGAGCGGGCATCCTCCCCGCCCTTCCAGAGCGGTTATCATCCCCACTGCGCTTTCTGGGAACTTGTTAATCGTTCTGAGGATCTCTGCTAGAGTCTCTGCTAAAACGTGTGTTTCAGGGAGTTGCCAGAAATGGGCTTTATTAGGCTATCGAGCAGACATCAGGCATGTAGCTGGTTTCCCGGGCGTGCAGCGGACGGCAGCGAGTGTTCTGTGGCACTGCCTGTGCCGGTCTCAGCTTGGCTCCGGCCCTGGCACGGGTGGGCTCAGCCACAGCCTTGGCGCACCACGGCAGGGAGGGCTCTGTGGGCATCGCCCCTGCAGTCATTCATGGCCATCCTGCCAGGAACAGACAGGTTTTTCGGGAACCTTGCTTGAAAACAAAGGGTACAGCAGTGCAGTCTGAGGGCTGTCTTGCATGTTTTTTGAAGTTCTGTATGTTTTTTATTGCCTCCTACTGGATGTGAAGACGATTGCCTAATCCTCCTGTAGACTAAGTTGTGCAGTATGTAGGCAGTGCTTCCTGAGGGGTTTTGGCTAGGTAGTGCAGTGCATTTTAGGCTCATTTAAACTTTTGTAGCACTGTGTGTACACAGTCACAGATTTCAGTGGTCTTGTGGCTTAAACTCTGATGGTGGTGAATCCCCCCCTTGAAAGTGACCTTAAAACATTAATACAATGACAACTCTCCATTTAATGCAAGAAGATTATTATTTGTCACTAAGCCTGATACACTGTTCAGTGTGTAATCTCATTTTATTCTAAGAATCCACATGTATCGTTTTCATCAGCTGTGAAATAATGGCTAAACCTCGCTTGAGTTTAAGGAGCATAAGGAAAAGTAAAATAGTGTAACTGTGGATGGTCTGAGGTATGCCTTTTCTTGTTTCAACATGTGTATGGCCCCAGGGGAGATACTTTTGGTGAGCACATCACTTGGTCTACTTGGATCCCTTCTTAACTCCAAAATCAGAGACATATTTCTGTGCTCTGCTACACTGTTTAATTACAGACCTTTGCTACAAGTGCTCCTTATCCCCTTGCCTGATCACTTTTCTCCCTGAAGGGCTAATTTAGGTCAAAGTTCTGACTCACTATGAAGTTCTCATCACAATGTCATTCTGGAGGATTAATAGATTAGTGGATTGCTCACCTTTGGGGAAGGAATTTTGCCATTAATTCTTTCAAGCAGCGGATGAGCCAAGAAGCATATTCAGCACTTTGGAGTCTTCTAGGCCCAAATAAAATTGCTTCACTTCTGGATGTTTGTTTTCATTTTTCCAAGAGGATTGCTGGTTTGTCCTTCCATTTGTTTTGCTGTCTTTCTGACTTCTTCAGTTTCATTTTTTTTCCCTCTGTCTCTCTCTGCCTCACTTCCTGTGTTTAACTGTCAGTTGACTTTTCTTTAACTCTTCTCTGTTTCTCTTCAGGTTGTAGAAGGTACTCTGATTTTACTTTCTCCCCTCTCCTTCTTCTGCTATTTTCAACTGTTGTAGGAGTTTCATAGATCTCTTGAGTGATACCAGAGTGCTGCCTCTGGGCCTCATTTGGGACACAATCCAAACCATACACACTCCTTGACCAACTGGGGAGGAGGAGATACTTTCCCACATGCTTTACAGTCTGTGCTCCTTTCCATCAGCTTATTGCACTGACTCATGCAATAAGGTGATGTCTTAAGTTCATTTTCCCACTGCCTGGGCACAAGGGCCTGTAGGCTTCCCTGTAAGGTGTCACAAGTGATTCTTTGCTTCCCCTGTGCTGTCAGTTGTTCCGTAGCTGTCCAGGGCAGTTTGTTGAGTGGGGAATTTTCTATGATAGATTTGTGCTGATGTTGTGAAGTAAAATTTAGTTTTTCAGGAACTTCACCATAGACAGAGGAAATTCTGTGTTCCTTAAATTCTTGTCTCTTCTATAATTGTTTTGTGTCAGAATTATGTGGAGGGTTCTGAGAAGCTTAGAAGATGCTTTTCCCTTGTGTGTAGCAAGCCATACATAACATGAAGTCCTCCTTAGGATCACTGAGAGCAGCTGCTACTGTCTTTGAGCTGACAGATAAGGGTGAAACTGAACTTCAGATAGCAGGAATCTTCAGGTATGATGATGGTAATATTTATAATAGTAGTCCAAAAGAAATGTGGTTTTAATTTTTCTATGTTAAAGTGATGAGTAGAGGGTATTCTGTTCTTTAAAGCACATCCTTCTAGAGCTTCTGACAATGGCTGCAGCTTCCTTGGTTGTTTCCTGCTGAATGAGCCAGACAGAGGCTCCTCTGCTTCCATCCTGTGCCTTGGGGCAAAGGTGGGGAAAGGCTCCAGCTTCCCCTGTCCTCTTCCACTCTAAATAGAGATGTGTGGCCCTGTGAGCCCAGAGGCAACTGGCAGGAGTAAGTCCTGGAGGGGATGTTTTGTGGGACACAACAATAGGACTGAAAAGGGTGACAGACTGCTGGTATGAAGCTGCTGGGGTTTGTAGAAGCAGGAGTAAAACCTGTAGGATGTAGAGCTTTTGTCTTCCATATCCCTTGATTAATGGGCTTGATTAAACTGGATTATTGTGTATTTAGGTTTGGCTGAGTTCATGGAAATGTTTTTCCTCTTTCTCCTGCATTCCAAATTTAGTGTCCTAGCTATTTTTTCCTCAACTGAGTACCCCCCCCCCGCTTTTTTTTAAGAGGGATAAAGATTATGCAGTTTTTATGCACTTTTTTTTTTAATATTTCTTCTCTAAAAAGCCACAGAATTGATAAATGCCCTCATAAAGTGGGTTAAAATTGAGAGAATTGTCATGTGTCCTCCCATGTAGGCATTAGAAACTTTGCTTCTGCTGCATGAATGCTTGTGTTTCAAAATCAGAGTCAACAGTTCTTGGGCTATGTGAGGAGATGGTTTAGCACATTTTCCCTATTGCAGCTTGTTATGATTGCATCTTTCTCTTTGGCATTCCCCAAAATAGTTCTTCCAGGTAAACACTGTAATTCTTATACCAGCTAGTGTGCAGCAGCACGTTTCTTGCTCACACCTGTTCTTAACCTGCTTCTGTCAGGAGGATTAGGTGTCTATCCCTTGTGAAATGTATCTGCAAGCCAAAATAAAATGCCTTGCCACTCACTTGGAACAGTTTAACACTGCGTACATCTTTGTTGATTTTTGGGGGAAGTGGTGCCAACATGACTAGGAGAACTTTTCTGAAGCTGAGTAGTACTCAGAATCCTGATATGCAAAGGTGAGGACCTTTAGTCTCACCTGGTGCAGCAGTCAAGTGATGTGATCAGGATGTCTTTCACTTCTTTGTTGGCCGTGATGAATTGATGTGATGCAACTGCAGTTATTTGCTCTATATAAAAAAAATAGTTCATCCTCTTGGTGGCAGCCATGACAGAATGTTCCAGTGTGTTATTTACATGTGTCAGAAGAGGGATGTGGTTTTGCTGTCCGAGGCATCAGAGCTGGAGGCTCTGGCTAGGAAGTGCACTGGATGGCATAAGGTCTTGGGATTGCCAAGGGAGCCAGAGTTAAGCTTTAGGACTTGGAGTTTATAACTGGTATAAGGTGTCAGCCTGTGCAGCATGGCTGCTGGAAAATGACTGGTAAAGCTGAACTCAGCTGGTTTAAAAAAAAACACTGTGGGAAGTCCCTAAGGCCTGCAGAGAAACCATTAGTATTTAATGCACTTTTTCCTTCCATACATTTAAACTAACATAGTGCTTAAATGCCTCACAGTGATGAATGCCTGCTGTGAAGCTGTTAAAGTTCAGTTCTGAGGAAAAGAAAAATAATTTGGCTAAGTGAGAAATATTTTCTAACTGCAGCAAGTATCTAATGTGGAATCATTTATGCTGTCATGGATTCTTTACTGAACCATCCAGAAATGTAACAGATGCACTTCCAGGAAGAGCTTTATACCTTCAAAGTTTGCTAGGAATTATTTTGTTATTGTGTTGTGAATAAATAAAAAATATACTCAAATGAATAAACTGATCCTAAGTACATGCTAACTACCCAGACAATAAAACTGATTTTAGTTGTAGTCAGTTATATACATTATGAAGTATTCACTGTTTATACTATCATAGTCTGAAGTTTGTTTGTTTGTATTACTGAAGTATCCCAGAAGCTGTCTGCTGGTTAGAAAAGTTAGGTGAGGGTTATTTTGTTAATCTTCTACCTGCCTGAAAAGAAAGGGCTCTGTCAAGTGTACCTTGGCATTCCAAACTGAATTCTTAGGTCTCTCTTGTGGCTATAATGTGACAGTAGCACAACTAATGCATGATACTATATTCAGAGCTTTGGCTTGATAGATCTAAAAGCAAATTGATATTTTTCCTTGGGTCTTTTAAGTTGTGCTGTGTCTCTGTTACAGATTCTAAGCTGTACATTCATTATTTGTAAAGACTGATTGTAATCATTATTTCTGCCCTCATCTCAGGCATTTGATGGTTGAAGATAGGCAAAGAGAAATGACAGGTATTGCAAGTACCATCAAAACAGTAGAGGGAAACCTGGGAATTGCATCCAGGCTTCCAGAGGTTTTAGTTTAGGTGTAAAAGTAATTTGATGATGTTTCTATAAGTATTAAAGCAGGAAGATTTTTTTCACCTTATATTAAATTTGGTCATTGCTTTTAAACTCACTTCTAACAATGCTAATAGTTTGCATGTGTTTATTAAATATTTAACCCTCTTGTAAGAAAGAGACACCCAGAAGGGTAGTGTGAAAATCATTCAGTGCAATTACTGTCTTAACTTGTTACTTAATGGGCATGCATATTTCTTATATTTAATTTCCATGTATTCTTTATTTAAATAATATATCTTGAGAGCCTTTTGACTTCATCCTTGTAATGTACTTTAATACTGTGTTGTCTGTCTCTTTAGGGATGATTCTGTACCAGAGGATAATATTTGGAGGGGTATCCTCTCTGTGATTTTCTTCTTTCTAATCATCAGTGTTCTAGCTTTTCCTAATGGTGAGTAAGGTTTATACAGCTTGTACTTCATGTTTTTTTAAATGTGAGTTTCTCTTTATTGCCACTATATTTACTTTTCTTTAAATACCAATTTTCAGTGTATTTTTTTTCTTTACTCATTTGAATTCTTTTATATTAAGGAGCAGTCTAAAAATGGTTGTAGTAATACTGAGCAGAGATAAGTGTTATTTATAGCTTGTTATTTATAGTCTGTATTTAACAAGGAAGTCAAGTTCTCAAAATCAGTGTCCTATTTGCAGATGTGCAGTTGCAGCTCAGATTGTAAGTAGTGATGCCAACAGACCCTTAAATAGTGTTTAGGAGGAATTTGCTTCAGTGTATTTCAACAGAAGTGTAATTCTAAAAGTTCTCAGACACAACATCTTACCAGAAGATAGTAATAGAAATGGTTTAAGTTGCATTTACAATGTAAAACCACAGTTGCTCAGTAGAAGTTAAAGTTGGACAAAAGTTTTGGTAGTTGCTTGAGGAGCATAAAGTAGAAAAATGTAAGAACATTTGTGTGTCACCTAATTCTGTGGAAGAAATGCTTATACATGATTTGTCTGTTTTGGTTTTTTAATTTTTGTTTATTCCTGTCAGCAGAAACGTGAATCTTGAGTCAATCTAAACTGTCTCACAGTTGGCAATGTCCAGGAAAAAACAGAGATCATGTTCAGGGCAGCTTTGTGCTGCAGAGTTGGGATGTGTTTTTCCAACATGTTAAAAATCCTATATGCATACTTTTCACAAAGTGCTGCCTGAAAAACTGAATGCCAGAGAAAAAGGAGCTTTATGCATACAGTGGTGAAAGAGTGGTCTGCAGTGTGTGCTGAAAATATTTGTTGAGCCACTTCTTGCTACCTAAATGTACAATTCATCATTAGACATTTTCCACTTTTACCAGATTTACCTTCTCTACTGTTCACATTAGCTGAGAGGTTTTTAGTCTAATAAATTAGTTTCATCCCTGGTTCTAAAGTAAATCATTTGACACAGGTAAAGAGCATAGGTGTCTTCCTTCTTGTTAGCTTTATATGATGCTCAATTTGGAAATTTCAGCAGGCCTGTTTGGTAACATTTCTTGTTGGCCTGAAGCTAAGCACCATGTTTCTTTGTTAACACAGACAAATTTGTATGGGATATCTTGATTGGGAGCAACCTGCAGTCTGGAAACCAGGTCAGGACATCCTCAGGTGACACCTGAGATGTGGTGTCTGCTGAACAAACAGCATGCTACTGTTCTGGACATGACTCCATAAAAACAGTGAAAAATTGTCTTCATGTTACCAACTGGCAGTCTCCTTTTTCCACTCTGAAATCTGCTGAATTTTTTTTTTTAACAGCATAGAGCTCCAGCTTTCAGGTGTATTACATAGTTTGATGAAGAGCTGATCCATGCTCATGCCAAGTAGTCATAGCTGATATACTCAAAAATAAATTTTGTAGTTTTTACTGATTATCTCCTAATAAGCTTTTTGTTTGCTGTCTATAGGACCCTTTACACGTCCTCATCCTGCTCTATGGAGGATGGTTTTTGGTAAGTTAGTGTTTCCAACTTTTGCACTGATTTTGCAGGACCTGCCTTTTTAGCTTTCTGATGAATGGAATTGTCATGAACCATAATTGTGCATGAAACTTGTGTGAATGTTACTTTCATCCTGCTCCTGAGCAGTTGCTTATAATCTATTCTCAGTTATGTTTGGGAATATCATTGTAGTTACTCTATGTCAGGATGGTGTAAATGAAATCACAAAAAAGGGATTATTCATTCTGATACAGTTTTAATCCTGTTTTGTCCTTCCCAGTCTCCTTCCCCCACATCTTTCCTACTGTCTGCTCTTCCAACTCCAGCTACTGCATATACTGTCTGACTTCTAAACACAGTTGAATAGTTTGTTTCTTTTCATTATTGGCAAAATATGCTGTTACTTTATATGGTGATTAAATTGTATCATTGAATAGGTTAACAATTAATAATATTCTTGACATGTATATATTCATATTCTTAACTTATTTCATTAAAAATACCTGTAAATATCAGTTGCATTCATAGTTTGAAAAATAATTCTGTTAGCTACAAAACTAACAAGTGAAATCCTGTTCCTTAAACATCTGATTTACACAGCAAAATAATGAGGAATTTTATTTTCAAATAATTCGGGGTTCACAGAGCATATGGTAGACTGCATGTTTGATTATTTTTTAGGCAGACTAAATGTTCCTCTCTCCTACCACCTTATATCTAAAAATAAGTAGGTTCCCAAAGTAGCTGATTACTCATCTGTTGACATTGAGAGGATACTGCTGATTAGACAGTACTCATTTAACAAACCTGCTTCTTGGGAAGTTTGGGAAACAGTACTCCTACTGGAAACACTAGGTCCTACTGCTCACTTCAGGTTTCACCACATGTGGAGTGAAAGGTCATTCTCAATGTTGATACTGTCAGAGCTTGACCCTTGTACTTTTGGGAAAAGGCTGCATGCAAAATCAGGAGCAACATTTTTCCCTTTGTAATTCTCCTTCTGGTGTGGTTCATTTAGCCATGTTTCAGTTCTCAGACCCCTTTGGTAGATGAAGGGCAGGACTGGTGCATCCTCAACATTTCCAGATGCACCCTAGGCTGCAGGCTGTGCTTCATTTAGCAGGGTGACATCTGTGGCCCTCGTGTTTCTGGGAGGGACTGCACAGAACCATATAGATACTTCCTGTGCGTGTGTCTCTGAACAAAAGCTGCTTTCTGGTGTGCACTGGGGGCTATCAGCATGTGAGTCCTGGTTATAGTTTAAAAGGCCTTTTTAGAATTGCTGCAGTTTATTTTGAACGGCAGATCCTTAGTTTATTTACATTAATTTTTCTGCCTTCCATGATGTTGCTGCAGGATACATTTGAGGCTGTGGAAATGGTGTTTGTATGCCTCCTCCAAATGTGGTCTTGGATATCTGGGAGCTTGTGAATAATGTAAAGATATGGTCCCAACAAAAGCTTCATCTATCCACACAGCTATACCTAGGACTCAACTTCTAATAAGTTTTTCAGTTAAAAAAAAAAATCCTTATTCAGACCAGAGGTGAGAAATGGAACTCCTAAATGCAGTCGTGTTTCATAATTTATAGTGGTGTGAAAATAAATAATCATATTTATCTTTAAAAGGTTCAAACAGCAAATTTTCCAGCTCACAAAAGTAACTCAGACATGCATTAGTTTATAATTACTCTTTATTACCAGCACAGCTCAGAATTGCCAGGTGGCATTATTAAATTGACCTTTATGTTGAAATCTGTGTAAAGGCTTAGGGACTTACATTAGTGAGACCAAGAATACTTAAAGCAAAGGGACAGAGCTAATGCAATCCTGGATCCTAGTGTATCTCTTTCTAAGGAGCTTCCTGATCACAGCCTTGTATTACACATGTCTAAATTGATCAGACTGATTTTGTTCATGCAGTGGAGCATGTGTTGTATCACTTGTCACAGGAGGGATATGAAGGGCTGAGTGCTCAGACATTGCCATCTGACTGGTGTCTCTTCAGCTTTTCTCTGTGTAGCTGCTGTGTACAGAAATTCATTTGTAGAACAACTGTTTGAAAGCAGCTTTTTGAACTCTGTGTTCCAAGCAGTTTTTTTGTGAGTGAGCATGATTTTAAAACTGAGTCTTTTTGCAGGTCTCAGTGTGCTTTATTTTCTGTTCCTGGTGTTCGTGCTCTTCCTCAACTTTGAGCAGGTGAAAGCAGTGATGTACTGGCTGGACCCTAATCTTCGATATGCCACAAGGGAAGCAGATATTATGGTATGTATCCATGGCACTTTATTGTACATACTTTAGGCTTGTTTTATATGAGTGGGAATGGATAAATCTGAATTTGTTGTCATGAGCAGTGCAAGTTTGTGGCTATACTTGACAGAATCAACAAGTCCTTTGTGTCAGCAATTTATTTACATTGAAATCAGCTGGTGTGAAAAAGAATTTTCTCAGTATATTTTTTTTCCTAATGTAGATGGTTGGATGAGTGTGCCATTTGGAATAGGATATATGTTTGCAGTGGGGTGGCTTTGGATGCTTTTTGGTAATAGATACGAACATGGATACTGAAAATAGACTTAGCAAGGTAATATCTAAATGAAACCTGTATGGTATGTGTCTCAGATCAGGATTTTTGATGCCACAGTGCTGCACTCAAAGAACTTTGGTCTCATCTTGTTGCTCTGAGCTTAGTACATCACTATTGTGCTATGGAGCTTGTGGAGTATGTGTTTGTATGGCAGCTGCAGGACTCTGCTTCCTTCCAGTCAGTCAGCAACTGAGCACTGATCCTGTTACCATTGGGAAATGATTTCCATAGACCATAACCTGGAGTGGCATAGAAAGCCAGGTGTGTTCTTCTGCTCACTGAGCAGCTTGCAAAGAGTTTTCCATGTGGAGAACGTTCCCCTTCAGGTGGGGACACAAACACAGGGAACTGAGGTTGTAAAAGGAGGCCTGGGAGAAGGGTGTGAGTTATGCAGGGAGGCAAGCAGAGCACAGTGTGAGCAGCTGGCCACCAAGCAGAAGAGGAGGCTGCGTGGGGAGGCAAGAGTTGCCAGTCTTGCCCTCCTCATTATCACCTCAAATGACTCCTCACCATGTGACCAACATGGTCCCTTGACCTTGGGTTTGTGCATCTGTCCACCATGGTCACCTGTTGTATTCCAGGTGCTTTTATAGGGCTCATGCCTCATGAGTAGGGAAATTGACTGCTTGTCTTTCACATGTGGCTATTTACTGCTTATGCAAGCCAACACACAGCACCCCATCAGCAGTGGCTGCAAACTCGTGCCCTGTAGCACATGGGGGAATGGAAATCTTTACAGTGCAGTGAGCTCATGTTAGCTGATTGATAGTGAGGGCTGTGTGCAGGCTCCTTGCCTGGAAAACTGCATGCTTCAGGTATTGCACCTCAGCCTGTCAGCAGAACGTGCTGTGCAGCTCTGGGCTGTGACTTTGTGTTCTGCAGGGAACCTCCTGTGCTGCTGGAGGGGCAAGGGCAGCCTGCCCTTAGGATGGGGGGAGGACACATGGCTAAATGGAGCCCCAGCACTGGTGGCACTGGTGCTGCTGAGCAGCAAAAGGCTGCTGAGACAAGGATCTGTTGGTTTGTCAGATTCACCTGGCTCTCCTGTCATTTAAATTAGAAACAGATTCTAACTAGGGGAGGACTTGTATTACTACTGGCACAGAACCACAGTACAGCAGATTCCCTGACTGCAGCAGTCACTGGAAACTTGCCCTGGTCTGCTTTGCAATCCAGATATTGTCATTTGAAGTTGGAGTAAATTTTTAAAGTGCAGTGGTGATGAAGGCTGCAGCTTGGTTGCTTGTACAGGACTAGCAAAGTTGCTTGGGTATAAAAAAATGTTCAGCACATTTCACTGTATGGCTGGCAGAACTGCAGCTGGAAAAATGAGAGAGAGAGGAGAGAGGCCCCAGTAAAAACGAAAAAAGCAAGAGCTGTGGAAAAAAACTTACTTTTGGAGTAGCCTAATTGTGTTCACTCATCATAGGTATCGTGGTGTGCAGCAAGGAGCCTGCACCTTCTGTGGTGCATTCTGTGCTTCTCATGCTGGCAAAGGAGCCAGTTTCAATTCTCCTGGTGCTCTAAAGCTGCAGGATCACCATCCTTAGAACAGGGGTGCACCTTTCTCTGACCAGCAGCACAGGCATGCAAGAAAGCACCAGCAGTAAGGGTTACTTAGAGTAACCTACACAACTCCTGTCATCCCACAGTGGGACTTATCTGCCTCCTGATGGACAGAATTATATGAAATTGTGCATTCTTCTCTTTATGGTGGCCAGGATTTAAATCTTTCTCTGCTATCTCATCTTCAGCTTGATTAATATTCATTTGTGCAGGATTAGCAATAGTTCTGGCCTGAAGGAGAATTCTTGATTTAACAGCACTGAGCAGTGCTGAGTTGTCACCTGCAGGTGGCAATGTGTATTTTAGGAAGATTGAAGAGCAGAGATTTTATAAAATGTGTGTTTCCTCTTAGGAATAGTTCAGTTTGTGTCCAGTGATGAGACAGAACCCCATAACTGCAGCCTCCTGATGGCATACATATTTTTTTTTCTTTTTGGGCACTGATTTCTAGCACTTGCTGTACAACATGTTTGGAGAACCCAGTTTCTTTGTCATTGGTGACTAGAATATTAATTACCATTCTTAAGGAATCTGCTGCTCATCTGCAAAAAAATGTTTTCAAGTTCCCTTTGATCTTCCTCTAAATTTTTTTTCAATTCAAGCCTGTGACTGAATGTCTTCAATATGAATGGGTTCTAGGAAATTGCTTTCATGACGAAAATAAGACACAAAAGATACTCAAGTAAACATTGACATGAGTAACATTATATCAGAAACTGAGGAGGATTGGCCACTAATGAGCCACATCTGAATACCAGACAGCATGAATGTGGAGAAAGGTGGTTATTTCAAACCAAGACTCCAAAGAAAGGCAAATAAGTATTTTCTGGAGTATTGTTTGCTGGTTTTATTGTTATGGATTTTATTGGTTTTGTTGTTTCTCTGTCACTTAGGAAATACATGCTTCTTCAGGCACCAAGGTCCATTCTGTTTCCCTTTAAATTAGAGCTGTACAGTGATGGCACTGAGCCTTAATACTGGAAGTTTTCTGCCACAGTTTAGATGGATAAGAAAATGAAATAGTGCTAATTTTAATACCCTTATAATTCCAGGCTTAATTGTACTGGATGGAAAAATGTTTCTTCTTTCTGAAGTTGTGTGTTGATGGAGCTATTTTGTTCTGGGTTTTTTTTATTTTCCTAACAGGAGTATGCAGTGAACTGTCATGTTATCACCTGGGAGAGAATCCTCAGCCACTTTGATATATTTGCTTTTGGGCATTTCTGGGGCTGGGCTATGAAGGCTCTGCTGATCCGCAGCTATGGGCTCTGCTGGACTATCAGCATCACCTGGGAGCTCACTGAGGTAGGCCACTTTCACCTTAATTATCAGCAAAGGTAAGAGATGTGAATTGGTCTTGGGGGAAGAGTGAATGTTAGTAGAAGGATGGCTCTCTACTTCTCAGTATGGGTTTACATTTTAAGTCTTATAAGCCAGATGCTGAGTAATTTATGCAGCTGAATGAACAGACAACAGCAAGCTGGGTTTTATGCAAGTGATTTATTACTGCTTGAACAGAAAGGAAGTCTAGGTCAGCCTATTTGTGCCATTCATAATTTATTTGCTGCTGTTGTGGGGATCATGCTTCTTTTTCTACTTCACATATTTCCTGATTCAGAGCAACTGTTCTTTTTCACCTTGCAATATCTGTGATGTACTCTCTTGGTCCCTGTACCTCACATACAACATCACACATTGTGTATAGGCATGCATAATGTACAAGTGAAATGGAGTTGAGGGATCTTCTTGATGTAAACATCTGAACTTAGTCTTTAAAATCAGTTTTCTGTAAAGCTTGCTGTCTTGAGAATGCTTGGCTTGTCTGACAAAGCATTTGTAAATTTAGAAACATAGATAAGGATTTATTAATCTAAAATTAAATTTTGGGTTTAAAAATCCTGGTGCTGTGGGTTCCTCTTCAAAACACGTTTTTGTTCTGTAGCATTGAAGGATACTCTGTTTTCTAAGTGATTTTGAAATTGCTCAACATTGGGATTTCACAAGTACCCATTCACAGAAAACATCTCAGCTAGTTATTGTACCAATTTTTTCTCTCTGGAAAATAATGTATTTGGATTTGTTTCACTCATACTCTTATTGTTTATCACACAACCCTCATCTTCAATTTGACACAGCATCAGGTGTCTAGTATTCCCCTTGTTGGAAGGCAGACTATTGGAACAGATAATGTGTTGGACGAGGTTCAAAGCACAGATATGTTATCACCACTCAAATGGATTTTTGATAAATTAAATAATTCAGGAGAGTAATTAGAAACCTCCAGAAGTTATCAGGGCAGTTACACAGGGATTTAGCTGAGTATTTCCTATTAGCATTCACAGATTGCAGCCAGCTCCTTGCTCTGAAATGGGAAACTTGGCTCATGCTCCATACTGTTGGATTAAAGTTGGGAAGCAGGCAGACCTTGGTCTCTCTGTGAGAAAGCAGCTAGAGAGCCTTAGAGGCTGTCAGGCTAACAGCACCTGTGCTCTGGGTCTTGCTGCCTCATTATCTGTAGCTTCTGGTGTCTTTGCCTGGATCTGACTGACATTTGTAGGCTATCACCCCTCTCAGGCTAAATTAATTAAAAATATGAAAGGGAAACTTTACCACGACAATGAACAACACTGTATCACTTGGTTCCTGAAGAGAAACTCAAATTTTCTTTTTTGCAAAGGTTGAAATCCACATAGCTTTGTTAAAGAAAAAAACTGCTTTTGATACACTTTGCTAGAGTTTTCACAGAATTGTCATCGCCACTATTAGTCACTGTAATGTACTGTAAATGGGCCAGCATTCATTCCTGTTGTATACAGAAAACATTCTTGTTCCTTTTCTCAAATCTGATTTTTTTCAGTACTTTATGCTTACATCTCTGAACAAAAGATACTTTATTACAAAATCATACCAATAATCTTCCAATCTTCCATAGCCACAGTGTATGTACATTCACTGACAAGAATTGCACTGTTTTTGTGGAGGTACATTCTTTAGTTCACTATGTATTTTGTTAATTATCTCCTTGAGTATTGTAAAGGAACTGCTCAGCACATGGCTGTCTTGATTTCCTGCCCATAGGTAACTTTTCCAGTCTGTTTTTTTGATTGCAGTGATTTTTCACATAGAATAAGATAATAAAATTATTTTTCTTAAAGGAGAAGGAGAGGCAGTGAATCTGTTTCTAGCTCTTGGTAAAATATGGTTATATATTGCCTTAACTCTGGCCAGTTGTTCCCCTCATTGCATCAGTAGAGTGGATGTCCTCTTAGCTTCTTGAGCCATTCTGTATTAAGTATAGCAGCAAAGCTTGCTGAAATGTTGTCTGAAATGTTGTTGAACTCTTTTTTTTTTTTTTTACAGTCATTAAATTTCCTGAAAATAGAGTTTTGAAATAAAGAAGTCCTCTGTCCTGAACACCACCATGCTTTAGTACTGACAGCTTTTACAAATGCAGCCATTTTACTTGCTGCATCTTGTTGCTGGTTTAGAAAACATACTAGTTAAAACTATTTAGCAAAAATGAAACGAAGATTCTCTTAATTTTATTTTTTTAAAGCACAAACCACCTTATTTCTTCCAAGAAATGCAGTAGTTCTGCTTGTTTCATACATTCTATTAATACATCGTGTATCGTCTTTGAGAGGCCAACAGCTGCATGATGTCCTTATATGCAGCATAGCCTCAACATGAAACAGTGAGAAAGAAACCTCTGATGTCTTGTGTGGTTCTGTTCAAGGCCTTCTGAAGTTAATGGAAGGATGTCCATCAAATTTCAGTGGCTGTGGCTCATGCCCTTGAAGTATGCTGTGTACTGAAAAGCTGATTTTTGAATGTGTACTTTAAAAGTGAATTTATATTAATTCTATGCTGTTCCTCACCCAGAGTCTTTTTGCTGTCTTCTGTAGCTCTTCTTCATGCACCTTCTGCCTAATTTTGCTGAATGCTGGTGGGATCAAGTCATTTTGGACATCCTGCTCTGTAATGGGGGTGGCATCTGGTTGGGCATGGTAGTTTGTCGTTTCTTGGAGATGAGGACCTATCACTGGGCAAGCTTCAAGTAGGTCTAAATTAAACATGATAAACATTGTTTTGCATGTATAAAAATAGCATAGAAACTGCCTGTGCTAACGATGCTGTAATTTTATTTTAGATGTTAAATATCAGTGTGATAGTAATGTTCCTGTATGTGTATGTTTGTAGATGTGACTGTATGTATGACTTTCCTTTGCAATTTTAAGTTATAAGCATGGACAGTACAAAATAGTAAAGCTATTTGCATTTTCAGTTTATTTTGTATACATTAAACTTTGAGGAAGTCAGGGAGCAAAGCAAATTGTGCTTGTTTTCTTGTCATACATTTTTAAACTAGATTTGGGCTCACCTTGGTGATGCATTAGTGTGGCAGTGTGTCAGCACTAGCTGTAATTGCAGTAGGGGCATGGGGCTGGTGGTACCTGTGCTGTGCATTGCCTTACCTCTTAGCTGATGCTGACCTTCTAAAATAAAAGGAGTAAAATAAAGAGGCATTTGTTGTGTAAAAGGGCAACAGCTTGTGGCCTAGTATGTCAGTTCCTAGCTGTCCAGGTATGGTTTGTTCCATAGCTTTTTGCCCCTCTCTTGCCTTCTTCCCTGCTGGTAGCAAGCATGGTTATCTGCACATTGCCAATGGTATACATGAAACAGGGTCAAGTGCAGTGAATTGCCTTGAGAGGTGGAAAAGGAACTCAGTTCTTGACTTCCAGATTTGTACCTTGTGTAAATTTCTGTACTGCTTTTCTTTTTTTATTCACAGATTTGTTAATTACTCTAAGAACCATCCAGCCTTTAGTCTGAATTCAGTTTTCCTGTATTTCTATTAGCGTTGATGGTCCTTCTATTTTTAGAGGGTCACTGAAAGTTCAAACAGCAGACTATCTATGGCACAACTAGTCTTTACTGTCTTTGTGGAATAATTTTTCCTCATGTTCTTTTAAATGCATGAGTAGATTTTTCTGACCTATAACATGATGCTGCTTCATGAGAATGAGAATGTTTTGCCTGTGCCCTTTTAGTTTTTTTTTTTATTTTATTTAATAAATACCGATGTTAAAGTTTAGAAGATTCTCCCTAATCTAAGTTCTCTCTAGCCTAGAAGAATACAAATATTGGAAATATCAAATCTGAGGATTTTTTTTGGGGTTTTGGTGGTGGTTGTTTTTTTTGTTGTTGTTGTTTTTGGTGGGTTTTTTTTTTTTTGTGGGTTTTTTTTGTTGTTGTTTTTTGTTTTTTGTTTTTGTTCTTTGGTCTAGAAGGGCCAGAGAAATAACAGGGTGAAAAATGGCTTCTAGTCCTGCTAGTTCTCCTTCAGAAGAGGAAGCTCTGAGATTTTCTTAGATTCTGTGTCCATTGGATGCTGTTGCTCATCTGAATTAATAGTATCAAAATATTAATATTATCAGTAATATGTCAGATGAGTCTGCATTAAAATCCCCTTTCAAAATGGAATTTAAATCCTTTCTAGCTTTTAACAGTGTTACCACACCTCTCCAGGAGGTTCACATGCATCTGCTGTCAGAACAGCAGGGCTTATGTGTGCTGGAGGTGTAGTATTGTTAAACCTGTGGAGCCAGTCCCTGATACAAATAATGAATAATGAATCTGACAGATTCTTGAAGGATTGATGTCAGTGAGCTCTAGAACAAGGAGCATTTAAGGTAAGAGCAGTTGCAACATAAACCAGGAAGAAATAACCCCTAGTTTTTCCAAGGAAGTTGCAGAATTGCTGTCCTTGTTTCTTTGGGAAGAGAATGATAAATGTGTTTTGTAGTTAGTTACTGAGTTATTGACTGAGGATAGAGAAGACTTTTATAGGAGAATACACACCTTGACTGAAATGCTTAATAGATTATTTTTCTGAATTCTCCCTTGCCTGGTACATAGTTGTGTCTGAGATCTCTGCTGTTGGTCAAAAAAAAGTGATTGTTCCTCAGAAACATCAGTAACAGAGTTGTTGCTTTTTTGTTTTTTTCCTGCTGGCATATTCCTTGTATTTACTCCAGCCATTATTTTTTCCAGGGACATTCACACAACCACAGGGAAAATCAAAAGGGCTGTATTACAGTTCACCCCAGCCAGCTGGACCTACGTCCGCTGGTTTGACCCAAAGTCTTCGTTTCAGAGAGTGGCTGGAGTCTACCTTTTCATGATTATTTGGCAGGTAAGAAATAAATTCTGTGAAGTCTAAGCTGCCATCAGCTCAGTTACTTGTTGGCTATGTTGGACTAAAAAATGTTCTGATGGAATGTCTGTCTGTTGCTGAAGTACACAGTTAAATGAATTGATAATGTGGAATTGGAAAGGGCACTTTGATGGGAGCTATATGGTAGTTCAGGAGTGTAATTACAGAATCTGTGGGAAAAGTCAAACATTACAGATTGCTATATTGGCTTTTTGCAATTGACACAGACGTAAAAACTGCTAGGCAGTGGAGTTTAGGTGGTGAAATTTTAATTTATTTTGGTTTTATTGTGTTGATGTGGCAGGGGATTGTTTGGTTTGTGTGTGGGGTGTTTGTTTGTTTTGCCTTGCTTTTTTGGATTTTTTTCCTTTCCCATTTCCTGTTGAATGGATCACTGATACTCAGAATACTGTCATTGATCTAGCAAGACTCTATAATATCACAAATGGTTTAAAAACTTAAACTTCTGTAATTTAAAAAAAATTCTTAATTCAGTGTTTTAAAGGAAAACCGTCAATATTTAATATAGTTTTCTGAGGTGTGGGTTTTTTTAATATATGATCTGTTCTGCTTCTCTCCCAAAATTGTTTTGGTTATTTATACTTGATTTAGGATATACAAGCTATCAGAAGACCACTCTACAGGGTGAATTAGTGTCTGGTCCCTTAATGAGTTTTGGAAAAGAGAGCAAATACTTTGATAGAGGTTTCTAGGGGAGAATTTTTTTGTTTTAGTAGTATATTACTTGCTTGTCCTAGCAAAAGACAGAGCAGGAATTTCTTATGTTTTCGTTTCCATATTAATCTTTGCACATTTTCTGTACTAATTCATCAGGAGTTATGTAAGTTGAACACTATTAACTAGCTTTTTTTTTGATCTAGCTAACTGAGTTGAACACATTCTTTTTGAAACATATCTTTGTGTTCCAAGCAAGCCACCCTTTAAGCTGGGGGAGAATTCTCTTCATAGGAATCATTACAGCACCCACTGTCAGGTAATTGTTTTTGTTTCAGTGGTTTTTTTCAGTTTAAAGTAGCTTAACTTCTAGGCATCCAAGAACTGCATATAGTTAGTGAATAAGTATGGCACATTTCACAAAATGTATGCTTTTGCCACCATGAAATGCAAAACAATCATCTCTTGTCAATAAAATGTATTTCCTCACAAATAAACTAATGAGGTAAAATGTACATAACAATGTGTTGCCATAGGGATGCAGAGCCAGTCTGTTCCTTCTCCTGTTTGTGTAGCATCACCCTGTTTTGTGAGTTAGCTGCATATATTATCCTTGAGGACTGCCTGTGAAAGTATTCAAGTTAATGAGTCAGGTGCTCCCAAAAGTGTAGATGAGGAAAACCAGAGCTGCTGGTTTTTCTAAGAGCTCCTGATTGTGATTGAGCAGTAGCTTATTATGAGAACAGAAAAGTATATATGCAGCATTGACAGCTGTGTAGAAGCATGAATCTGCTTTTGGTCATGCATGCCATTTTATGTTGTTAACAAAGTTCCTTAATTTCCTTTTTTCCCCCCTTCCATAGTTGGAGGTAGACAGAATGCACACAGATCTGAAGTTAGAAGCAGAGAATTCTCTGTTCATGTCCAAAGTGTTGTTACCTTGGCCAGTTAAATGGCAGCCATGAATTGGTTTAGTCCTCAAGTAGTGTCTTAAGTTATGTGCAGTGATTTCACACTATTAATTAAATCATCCAAAACACCCTGTGAGCTCTTGTATAGGTGAATTTTTATGGGTTTTTTTCCTTTGTAGCACTTGCACACCTGTAGAAGTCTTTGTTCATTAGCAGTCCTTGTATTGTTGGAGTAATAACACTTGTCTTCTCCATCTGTCAGTGGAAATCAGAAACTGAGGAAACTTTGATTCCACTCTTCGGAATTCCCCTCTCTAAACTCTTTAAAGTTTCTGGAGCATAGAGAGCAGAGCAGAATGGTCTCCATAGTGTTTTCAGAATAGTGAAAAATGCTACTGTTCTTGAGAGGAAAATATGCCAGTGGTTAGACCATTCAAACAGGATATGGAATAGCCATATTCTTTCAAGATTCAAACCCACATTTCTCAAGAAAATGCAATTGTTAATAAATAAAAGATAAACTGCGGAAAAAAATGAAGGAGTCTCTAATTCTTTTGAAACTCTTGCAGTTTGCCTGTAAGAATTGGAGACTCGGTGGAGAGGCAGGAGACAAATGCTGCTAGCCTACTAGTTTGGGTCCTTTCCCAGCTCTTGCTCTCAGGATTGTTTTCTGTGTTGTCTCAAGCTATTTGATATATGTGATAATCTGTCCTGCTAGAATTGAAGCCATCTGGTAGACATCCAGAATGATTGCATGTGAATTTAACCATCAGCACTTCATTTTCACTATAGATACATCTGTAACACAAAGTTTTTTTCTATATGTAAATATCCTGGGGACTTTAAACTTCACTGAAGAATTTTCTTTCTTCCCTTCTCAGGCAATACTATGCTTACCTCACAGACACACAGTGCAAGAGGGTGGGAACTCAGTGCTGGGTGTTCGGGTAAGTGTTCTTGCTGCGTTGCTGAAGCACTTGGACAAGTGTTGAGGATGGGTCCAGCACAGGAACAGGCAGTTCCCATGAAGCCAATCCTTGTTTTGGTTTTGCAAGTTCAGAGGAAAGGAAAATTCTGAATTTGGAGGTCGAACATGGGAAGTGATGGACTGAGTAAGGACAACAGAAGGAGTAACTAGGACCTGCTGGATAAAAGCTAGGGTCTTTCAAGGCACCATTGGCCTTTCTACCCATATTCTTAGTCAGGTGAGGAGGAAAAAGCTTTTACCTCTATAGCTTGCCTTTGCTTGATGGTTGTGAGGGTAATGTTTTCCTGGCTGCCAAGGTGGGCATTGCTGCTGTTAGCAGCATCACAGCAGAGGACAGTGAAACAAGCCATGGTTATCCACTGTTTCTGTGAGTGTACTATGAGCCATGGTGACCTTGACTGCAATCTCTTTTTCTCTTAGAGGTTACCTTTAAGTGAAGAGTTTGCATGGTTGCTTCTGAAAAATTGTTAAGGACTACAGAACCCATCATCCTTGGTCCAAAGCTCTCACTGAACATGTTAATGTATTGTGTGTCAATAAATAGATAACCAAACATGTCTGCAGGATTGCTTAACAGGAACTGCAGTAGAACATTCACCGACAGTCTGGTCTAATAGTGGGAAATGTGTATGGAATAAGTATTCTTCTTCCTACTGCTTACTTCTGTAATCTGCTAGAAACAACAGAGCATCATCTGATGACTGCAGAAAAAAGGGGAAATCTTCCAGTAATGTAACTATCTAGAATATAATTTCTGAAGCAATTAAAAGAAGTATATGGAACATTCATCTCTGTGGTAACCAAGGTACTTCTAAAGGCACAAATGGATTTTTAAGCAGCCTAACTATGGGTATAATTAAAATTAGTGCCTTTCATTAGTACGAAACTGTTTCTTTTCAACTTGACATAACTATTGCATCACTCTTGATGGATGTACAGTAAGTGATGTAAAGCATGAACAAGGCCAATGCAACAGCCCTGCTGAAATTGCACTATTTTCATTAAGATGAAGCCTTTCAAAAAGGAAAATCTGTTAGAATGTTACAAGACCATTTTGCTTGAATGAAAACTTACCATATTTAGTTCTATGGAGTACTCTCATCACCCTTCAGCAGGACACTAACACCCTTCACTGTTAGCATCCTTCTTTCTCTTGATTTAACACTTCATCAGCTGTAATAGCTTTCCTATTGTAAAATGTGCTTAACCCAAGTATTCTTGGCAGGAATAACAGAAAGAATGTATAAGTTCAGGGCAAACAGCTGTATTTTTTTTTTAGTCCTTATTTAAAATAGCCTGTTGTTTTGTTTATGCCTTTGAGTGTATCATAACCCTGAGCTTGTTTCCTGATGGTGGTCTTTCTCTTCCCACTCCTGTAGTTTAGTTTCATTATTTTTTTACTCTACAGCTGGATCAGTAAGAATAATATAAAACCAAGAAAGAAAAATAGTTAGTGACTCAAGAGAACAGTACTGCTCTCAGTTTTTTGCTAATATGCATCTCATTGATTTGTGTATTTGTCACTTGGGTGTTACTGCCACATTTTTAAGTTTTGGCCCCAGTATGCTGGAAGTCACATTGAATAGTACAGGGAAAGCTGTGATTTATTGCTTGCACCAGGACCATCTCTGCAATACCAGTGGTTTAGTCAAGCACACATTTTCTTTCCTCTTTCATGGGGGAAACTGGGTCTTCCTTGAAAGGCAGTAGTGCATTTTTTTGTGAACTGGTTATTGAGAGTATTGGTAGGGAATGTGTCCTGCAGTGTCAAGCTTGGGAGACTGGAACACTTGATGTGATGTTGATGGTGTCTGCACATTGGTGAGGAGGAGCTTTCGTGCATTGCTCATATGTACAACCTTAAAGTCTCTATTGAACAAGCTAACTATTACACTTTAAATTTAATAGTGTTTTTCATTATTTGCTTCAGATTGAGATGAGTCACTTTCCTCCACTTTTAATGCAGGTTTTCAGTGTCACTTTTCTACACTTCTGTTGTTAAACATATATAATTTTCTCTTCAGGACCAATACAAACTAGATTTATTTTCATGGCAGACAGTAGAAACTTTGGATTCATAAACAAGTGGTGGAAAAGCCTTCATAGCTTTGAACCTGGAGAGATGTAAACACTTGGTAGCGGGGGAGAGATGGAGATACTTTCCTCTCTGACATTAAAATAATAAAAAAATGTAAAAACTGCAATTTTTTCTCTCACATTTCTCCCCAAATCCTCTGAGGCTGTCGTGTGGACCTGAGTTTACAGATTAACCAGAGCAAACGCATGGATTCTCAGAGAATTTGAAATGTTGTTTCATATGAATTTTCTCATATGTGAAAATATGGGAAATACATGTGAAGCAAACAAACTAGGCAATTTAGAACTGTAGTAAATTTGCATCTAGTAGAGAAATAAACAAAGCACAGTTCTAGTTCATCCATCAGGGGAGTCTGTTGGGTGTTCAGCATGGAAAAGAAATTCATATGTGGCGAGAGCTGAAGCACAGTGGTAGACACAATTGAAGATTCTCTGCTATTGGCAGACACTCCTTGTTCCCTTGAGCCCCATGGAACAGTGAACTGCCAGTCAATCACTTTTGTGTGCTGTTTATGCTGAGAAAAGTATAGAAAGAAAATGATATTTGTCAAAGAATTTCATTTAATGGTGCTGTCAGGGAGGTGTGTGCTCACTAGAGGGTAGTGCTTGTTTAGAGCTGACAGTCTGGGATCTGAGTTGTGAACATGTGAGTTAAATCCTTAGTGTTTTTAATCACTCTCCTCCCTGCTTTCATTTACCCACAGGGTAATTGCCTTCCTTGAAGCTATTGTGTGCATAAAGTTTGGACAAGATCTTTTTTCCAAAACACAAATACTGTATGTTGTGTTTTGGCTTCTCTGTGTGGTAAGTGAAATTTCTCATGTGAAACATAAAGCATGACAAGAGCATTGAAAGCATCTAAATAGCTTCCTCTCTGGAACACTGGCAGCAGGGGATCATTGTGGGGCAGCTGGTAAAGAGCCTTATCCATGTCCTAGTAAAAACAAATGCTAGATTGCTTAGAACTCACATTGAAGGGACTAGAATAACTTTTCTCATTTCTTGACATAGCAGATTACTGGTGCTGAACAATGAAACACACAGTAGTTCTAGGATGCTTTATCTTGATGAGAGATGATGTCAGTTCAATCTAGCTTTGGTGGAGCTTGCTGTAGTGCCTGCTGGAAATGAACAGGAGTTAATGGACAGTGTTAATAAGCAATGTGTGTTGTGCCACACTGAAGTCTTACAGCTACATAAACAACCCTCATTTATCAAGCAAATCATTCTCACTAAGCCTGTAACTTTCTGTACTTCAGTGTGATTACTGCAAATGCAGCATGAAATGCCCATTTTATAACAGTAAATGGACATTTGTCTCACCAGACTTGTAACTCTGATGCCAAGCACATTTTTCATGGTCAGTGAGAAATAAGGCATTTATAATGGGCTGACAGAGAAATACTTCTCCCTTCTAATTGGGACCACTGTTTGAACAGGTGATGGGGAGTCAGAATTTATTGTTCTCTTATTTAGCATGGTGATTTTATTCCTGATACTTCAGAGGAGAAAAGTATTGAATTGCTTCTCAGATCAGAGTACCGCAAAACTAAGTATGTAACCTAGCCTGAAGCATGGGGCAGAGAGGAGGAAAATTTGGTTTTCCCCCAGAACTGTGGCTCCTGATAATATACCTACAAGTGTCTACCAACTGCCTTTGTGTGATGTTGTACAGAGTGTGGACAGAAATCCTGCTGGCAGTGTTTCCTGTGAGTGATCTGGATGTATTTTAGTGCTTCCACTGAGAATTGTTCTGCATACCCCATGGTGGCAGGCTCTGTGTGTAGCTTGAAGTTGACACATGAGTCTTACTCATCCTGACAAAAGGTACAGGGAGAAACAGAGCATGAAAATCTGAATGTGGCATCTCCAGGGACTCTGAGACCTTGAATCAGCAAGGAATTTGGAAAAAGTTCTACAGATAATTTTTCATGTTGTTCTTTTTCTTCTCCTCCCTTGTTTAGGCCTTCACAACTTTCCTGTGTTTATATGGAATGGTTTGGTATGCAGAGTACTACGGCCACCGAGAAAAGGTACTTGTATAAAAGAAGCCTGGGTTTTTTGGGGTTTTTTTTTTTTTTTTTTTTTTTTTTTTTTTCCTGGGGCCCTTGAATAAAAGAAGCCTGGTTTTTTTGGGTGTTTTTTTTTTTTTTTTTTTTTTAATTCCAGAGTGCCTAGATTTTGGAATTCCTCACCAGAGTTAGCATAAATAGGGATAAGGGGGGATGGTCTAGAGTGTAACTGAAGTCAATAGAAAGAACTCTGAATTCAGCAGGCCTTGGACACATCCCAAATTACACTGTGGTTTCTAAAGAATGCTGTCCTCTTAGTTACTCAAAATGAGGCCGTAATTTTAGCAAAGCGTTCAAGGATGAATGGTTAGCTAATGTTCCCATTGTACAGGTGGAATGCTAGGGGAATATTAAGAATACTTGGTTACACAACAGATCATGTGGCAAGTGGTGAGTTCTTACTGTATCCTCTGTGTGGTGCCTTCCAGCTAGGAAGGGAAAAGTCCAAAGTAGTGTCTGAATGTTTTATGAGGACTTCTGCTACAGTTTCTAAGTCCAGTTGCAAATGGGAGGAGTACTGATAACATGAACCACCGGCATCCCAATGACACATGTCCTTGTTTTTGCAGACCTTATCAGAAAGTGAAGACAGTCCATACAGTCCAGATGCTTCCTGGCTTCATTCTAAATTCAGCAGAGGTATTGGTACTACTGTAGCTGTATTCCTGAAATGGTATAATGAAGGCTCAGCACTGGAAAATGAGGCTTGAGAAACTTACCTAGTTTCAGCAGGACTTGTTTTAACATCTCTGCAGGACTAATACAGATAAATAATCTGCAAAACTACTTTTCTTTGCTCACTTTTAAATTCTGATTCTTGGAAATGTATTTATTTTTTAATATGTGAACTGATTTTTTTCTGCTGTTACTCCAGGCCGTTATTGTAGATGTTGGGCATTATGCATGAATACCCAATGTGGAGGTTTAAACATTGATATGATTTAAAATGGAAGATGTTTCACCACTCTGCTATAGCAAACTTCTAATTATTTCTTTTTGTGGGGGGGAGAAGGAAGAATTTTACAGGAGTCTTAAACATTGCTTTAAAAAAAACAGGCCACTAGATGGAGTACAAGTATCAACCAATGTCTATTAGCCTGAAATAATCCATACTGTTAGCACTGTAGCTCTAAAGCCTTACTGCCTTTCAGGTAGGAGTTTGACAGTGTCAACTAAATAAATATGTATATGTATTAAATAAATATTTATTTCTCAGCAGGTCCTGACAATAGTCCACCAAAACATTCAGTCAATAGTGAAAGCCATTCATCTAGAAGGAGGAATCGACACTCCAAATCAAAAGTATCAAATGGAATTGGCAAGAAATAAGAATGGTATCTAAAGACATCCTACAGTGTGGCCAGAAGTGACAAAGAAGATCAGACCTGGCTCTGAATTACCAAATGGAAGATTGATTTTTAATTTCAAGTTTAAAAAAAGGAGGTGTTGAAGAGAAGGATGATGAAGATGGAGCCACCAGTGTAGTGCAGATCGTTGCCTGATGGCACTTGCCATTCACTGATACAAATCTAGTTTCTTCAGTGTGTGGCATCAAAAGTTGATGAAGGGTATATTGGAAAAAAAGTCATTTTATCATAGCAGGTAATCCCTGTTTTGTGTTCAGGTGTTGCAAGGTCATTTTTAATAGATTAGTTGAGGATTTCAACCCAAAGGTTAGCAAACTGATAGTCAGTTGGTGTAGTTGATTGAATTTTTTTTGTTTGGTTTATTGTATTTTTTTCCTAGAAGAGTATGCAACCCTTTGACTAAAAGCAGTTCTGCCCTTCTTTCTCAGTCTCACAACAAAACTTTCCCTTGCAACTGTTAATGAGTATTTAAAAATTCCATATTGCTTGCTTTTATTTAAAGGCTCTTTAGGCCTTATGTTGTCAGGGTTTTGCCAGGAAGGAAATGGGTCCAGGTTTCTTGTAAAGGATGTGAAATTGATCTTCAAACACAGATTTTTTTGTTCTACATTGTCTTCCTGCTTAAGTCATACATACTCAATTTTTTAAAGTTTTAAAATACATATATAAAAATCTGTGTCATAGTAGAGGGCCATGCCGCCTGTCCTCAGTGACAAAGGCCATGTTATTTCATTGTTTTTCCTCCTCTACTCTAGTGTGTTTTGCATTTTCAAGCGTAAATATGTCTTTTTTTCATCTGTGCCACATTGTGTGCAATGTTTCTTCCTACTTCCTTCTATTTGCTTCCATCCTAGCTGGACCCAGAAATCCTCTTGTCTTCAGACTGATACCAGAAACTGCTTTGAAGGCTCAGATGCCCTTCTGAGCTTGGTGATAAGGCAGTTTTTTACTGAAGCCAAGTTGCTTACTATCTCCATAAATGTAATAATTTGTGAAGATTTGCAGTAGTCTTTGGTGTCTGAGCAGCAGCATGATGTGATAGACCCCATTGCATTGGTGTTTCCTATCATGCATCAGATACTCAAAAGCCAAGTCTCTTTTTTTATTTTCTTGCAGGTTGTTTTGTTTGTTTTTTTGGTTTTTTTTTTTTTTTTTTTTTTTGAGGGGTGATTTACTTTTTGTCTGGGTGGTTTTTTGGGGTTTTTTTAATAGATTAATTGTGACATCTAACAAAGCGGATAATTCTCCAGCAGTGATTGTGATGATTAAGTCAAGAGGTTAAGCAATCATGAGCAATCAGTTTCTGTGTTAAGTTATCAAAATGTTTTTGTGCCAATTAAATTTTGGGATTCAAGGCATTCAGAGGGGTAGGTACCTTAAGCAAGGATAAGTAATACCCATTAGTTTCTTAGTTTTTATGAGAAAATAGGATTTGCTTTTTCTTTGACTAATGTTACTGTGATTTGCCACAGGCTAGGTACTAAAGAAGAAATGCAGCAGAGACTTTTATACAAGTGTATGATACTGTAAATAGAAGAAAGTATCCTGTGTAATCCATGAATTCCTATGTGCCACAGATTATCAATGTTTGCAATGCACTTAAGTGTTGCTGCTGAGCTCTTCAGAGGCCTTTAATTTCCTACCCTGCTTTTCAATCAAACATGGAGTGTACAACTTGGAAAGTAATGTAGTAGAAGCTGCTGTATCATCATTGCCACAGTGACATTTAATGTTACATGAAAAAATGTGTTAGGAAGTCTTTCAGGCTCTCCTACAACTACTTGGTTTTCATTCATACTATAGCAATTCCATATATTGCCTTTGTATTTGTAATGTACTACATATTGATGAATGTATTTGTAGATTTCTTTGGATACTGAGACTTGTTATTTCTTTTATTTCCTTGGTTAAAAACTCAGTCTGTGTAAGACTGAAGAATGGCATTGTGAATTTTCTATTGGCTCAATACCAAAGCAAGAGATTTGAAATCTGATGGTTTAGGTATTTTAAGTACTGTGGTTTTCCAATGCGAGAGCCTGTTTTGTACTTGCAAGGGGTATACACACCAACTGTGTATACAAAGCTTATGTGTGTAAACAGATGCTGAAGTACATCATCTACCTGCCTGTGGGGACAAGCACATGTTTTGTAAATGTAGGCCTGGTGCTCATATTGCTGAACTGCACCCTAAAAATACTGGAAAGAGAAATATTGAAGTGTCATCTTGATGGAAGCTGACTTCTGTATAGTATTACAAAAGCTTTGTCCTGTAAAAATGTTGTTTGACAACACATTTAAATTATTTCCAATTAAGTCTTTTTACTTTAAATTTTTGTGTTTGGTTGAGTTTTTTTGGTTGTGTGTGTTGTTTCATTGCGGGGGGTGGGAGGGTCTTGGTTGTTTGTTTTTTGGTTTTTTTTTTGGTTTTTTTTGGGGGGTGGGAGGGTCTTGGTTGTTTGGAGGTTTTTTTGGTTATTATTTGTTTTGGGGGTTTGGGATATTTTTTTGGGTTTTTTTTTGGCTTGTGTTTTTGGGTTTTTTTCTTTCTTTACTTTAAAAGGGAGATTGCCATTTACCAAGCAGCACTTGAATAGTTTACTGAAGTTTCCCTTTTCCCTAGCAATGTCTCCTCTGTCAGCAGTTCTGGCTGGAATTCACATGTGTTCTCACAGGTCCTCCACTGACTTTGTCTCCTCTATCAGCAGTTCTGGCTGGAATTCACATGTGTTCTCACAGGTCCTCCACTGACAACTGTATTTTCAGCCCATCACTTTGGATGTGAGCTTTGCACTGGAAGTCATTGGAAAGGTGCTTTTGATCACTGCCATAAAATTAGTGATTCCAGTTTTATCAGCTACTGTGCTGTTGCTGAATTCTGTATGTGTGTAACACCTATAAATCACTGAGCTGTTTAGCAACAAGCATCCATGTGTGAGTTCTGCTGCTTGAACAGTGTTTTGTAACAGTCATGGATGTGCTGTCCTGTTTTAAACTGCTTGTTCTGCCACAGCCTCTCATTCCTGCTTTCCTGCTTCTGATGTTCTTTCCTTTCTCTGTCCTCCAGTGATCTCCCGTGCTGCTGTGGAGAGGTTGGAGTTGGCCCTCCAGAGGCTGTCCATCAATGTCAGTCATTGAAGGGAGGCTGATTTGAGGCAGCGTGGTGTAAGCAGAGGGTAGTGGCAAGAACTTTAAGTAGTAGATTAAATAAAAATGGAGAGTTTTAAAATAGATTTATACAGTGAACCAGAGCTCATGTTGAGTACTGAATTCCAGTATTAAGGTTGCTGCACGGATCATACACCACATCTTATTTAATATTTTGAGGTATGGTTTCAACCAGTTCTTTTGTTACTCTTCTGTGAAGATCATCATTTGATGTTCCAGCTGTTAAAGCTTTATTTTTTTTTACTTTGTTTTACAGATGTTACCACATATTAAATATTTTTTAAATAGAATTGCTCTGTATTGATTGCAAAGTATTGTATTTTGCAATAATTGTGTAAATCAACCCGTGTCACTGGTATGTGTTTGTCTGTACCTGTGAGGCATAAGAAATTGACATACTGCCTTTAGAAGTTCTTATGTTTTATTCTAAGTAAATTAATTTTGACAAATGCAATGGTTCCTGAGCAGCCTACAGTGCACTGTAAGGTTTTGCTGTAATTTATTATTTTGGAGCAGCAGATCTGATAACAAGAACAGTTACATTATCCCTTCTGAAATTTATCTACTTCTTGTCTTAGTGGTTCTTTTTAGTATTTATTTATTATTGGATGGGAGAGCTGAGTTGCAAGATGGTCTCATGACAGACCTTCAAGGAAGAAACAAGGCCTCCTGTACAAGGGCTGTAGGACAGGCTGTCACCAAGTAAACAGCCAGTGTAAAGGTGCCACTGAGTGCCTAAAACGCTTTGGCTTCCACTGCAGACAGTTCCCACAACAGTTTCCAGTTCTGTTATACCTCAGACCTGTTGTGAGCTGTTGGTTGCTCTTCAGAGCCAGATGTGTAGCTTGCAAAGCAGCACAGCTTTCCTTTTCTTCTTCAGTTCCTTCTCTGTACAGACTTTGAATACTGGGACTTTCTGATTTGCTGGGAAGGACTTTCCTTCAATGTGACTTACCTTTCTGAATTCTGGTTTACAGAGAGGCCATACCTTCTGAGGTTGTAGGAAAGTTAGGGATAGCCTAACTTAAGGACTTCAGCTTGTTCATTGTGTGGGAAGAACAGCTAAAAGTCAAGTGTTCAGTTTGTAAACATCTGAAGGGTGGGAAATACCTGATTAAAAAATTTATAGGAGCCACCTCTCTCAGAATACTGCTTACCACATTAGAGAAGGGGAGGGTGTTTATCTTTTCATTCTTCATTAAAGCATTAAAAATACTGGGGAAAAATTGGAACAGTGGAAGAAACTTTGTATAAGAAGCAATGTTTCAAAAATGTGCTCTTTTGTAAGCATGGAGCTCTACTACATTTGAACATTGATCAGTCTTTGTTTTATGTCTTGGTAGTTGCTGTTGAGGGTGGAGCTTAATCAGCAGTGTCAGATGAGCCTAGTGGCTTCATTTGTGCTCAGTCGCCCTTGGCACAACTTGCACACTGTTAAGATCATATGATTTGGGCCAGACCAGAAGCTGGAGCCAAAAGCTGGCAGCGTGATTGAAATAGGTGTTGGTGTGCCTAATTCAGTGTCTGAGTGCTCACATTCAGCTACGTCCTGTTCTTGTATGCATAGGCCTAAGCACGACTCTCCTGAGCCACCTGTTCCCTCTGGTATTTGCTGTAGCTCTCTAAGGAACACACATTTAGTTTTAACCAGAGGTTTCTGAGCTGCTTGGATGCTCAAAATGCCTCCTGCAGTACACTGGCTCCCTTTGTCTGCAGGTGTGATCTGCCTTCTTATCCACATCACAGTTTTGTTCTCTGGAGCCAGGGCAGGCTCTGGTTCTAATTCAGCAAATTAATGTAAATCCCTCAAGGTGCAGTGGAAATGTGTTTTGGACAAACACCCTGCCCATGTTTCTCACTTTTGCTTTAGCATGGCTGCTCAGGAATTGGGCACTTACATATTACTCAAAGAAAGTACAAAACCATAAGGTCTTCATACAGTGGGCTAAAAAGTACAAGGACAACCAGACTCCTGGCTTATGCCCAGCAGGGTCATGGTCTGTCACCTTTATGCCTGCTCACTCCTCTGTCAGTGCTCTGGCTGCAGGTGCACCTCAGGTGCCTCCCCCTGTGCTGCTTTCATTTGTATGAGCTCCCCCAAAGCCAGCTGATAGTCAGGCTGTGCTGCTTCCAGCTTTTTTTGGACTAAGTGACACACCTTTCAGACATGTCAGCACAGCTGGGGCCAGAGGGCTTACCATTGGCAGTAGGAAGAGAATAAGTAGGATAAGAAGTTGGCTTTCAGGCTTGCTCATGTTTTCTGTTGTACCAATGAAGCCAGTAACCTGCCTGTACGTAAAAGCTGATGCATAAACCATGAGGGTGACTAGGAACCCAGTTTGGGTCTGGAGAAAGTGGTTTGGTTTGGTTTGGTTTGTTTGTTTCTGGATGATTCTAGATCTGCTGTTGTTTTTTTGCAATTATGCTATCCATTTGAAGAACCTCACAAAGAGTAGATCCTGCACAAGTCTCCTGTTGTATGTTTGTGACCTCTCTGTTCACTTTGGGCAACTGCTCAGCAAAATGCATCAAATTCCTTTGTACTCTGAGTCCTAGTCATGATTATCTTAAAGAACTTCAGAAATTTGAGGTGTTAATTTTTATTTCCAGTTCCTTCCTGTGTCTTTAATTTGGACTGTATCTTCTCCTGTTTCTATCATTTTGCAGTGAAAGACAAGAACTGGTCTCTCATGGTTGGATTTTGTTTTTCTCACAAAGGAGCAGTCTTGCCCTCAACAGTCTAAATTATATTATGGTAAGACCAAGTGAGTTTTTACTTCAATGCAGAAAAAAAGCAAGTGTGGGAAAGAATGCAAATTATAAACATTGAATTCCTATAATCAGCAACAATGTGAGTGCCAGACTATACTAAGGATACACATGGGTTCAATTTTCATCGTTTTTGAGGATCTCAGTTTTCAGAAGATCATGAAATAACTGGATGGCTTATTTAATGTTTTTAGAGTAGGGGAATTTACAGCAGCAGCATTCCTGTGGCTGTGATCCAAAGTATGTTCTACAACTGCTGTGCCCTCCAGTTCAGCATTTTAGAGGTTCTTGCTCAAAAAACAATGCATAAAATAGTTGTGTGCATTTGTATATGTTCATATAAATCTACCAGATGAACTTTCTCATCAAAATGCTCGAGCCTGGTTCAGTACAAAATCTGTGACAATGACTACACCACACCTGAGTATTTGGAAGCATCCAAGTCTGTCTGTACCCCTGGAAGGTCCAGGAGCAGCAGGCATTAATCTCAGTTGCAGCCCCTAGGTGATGCTGTAACACAAACACACAAAGAATATGACCTGGATTTTCAAATGTTGCTTCTAATTTTGGGCCACTGGCTTTAGCCACCCAGGCTTGGTTTTAAAGATTTCATAACTCCCATTGACTTTAATTACAAGTGCCATACACACAGTCCTGCAAAGTGCCCTTGTTGTCAAACTTGCTACAGAAAAACCAAAGCAAAAGAAAATCAAATGAGTAGCTTTGAGAAGACTTTTATTTAAAGCATTAAATGATAGCTCTAGACTTTGGAGAGCAAGAGCAATAGACTTCTCTTCTGGTTTCCACTGTACACAGACTACCAATTTCTTGTCCTAGTACCTTGCTGATTTGAAGGCAGGACTGCTTCCCCCCGAGGATCTTTGGGATGAAGCTCTGTGCAGGGTTCTTATGGCTTCCCTCCTATTCCCACTGGGCTTTGTGTAGGGCCCTGGGAGGGTTAGGATGACTACTGTTTGAAAAGATGGTTTGGTTTTTGTTCCCAGGAGCTCAGCTGAGCAAGGGCATGGTCTCTAGTGCTGCCCATTCCCTTGAGTTTGTGGCTGTAGCCACGAAGTTGTGAGTTATCTCCTTGCTTGGATGAGCCTGTCCCTCATCCCTGCCAATCTCTCTGGGACAGGGAAGCCACTGGGTGCAGATTGTTACTGCTTTGTGTCTTCATGAGGCTCAGAGTTTTGGATGGCTCAGAGTGTTTATCAGCAAGCATTCAAAACTTCATACCATCTGCAAAGAATTCCCATTTCTCCTTAAAGTGCCATTTTTTCTAAAGATTTGAAAAATCCTTCTGGTCACAAACCTCAACAAGGCACCCAACTTGTACCAATTGCTATGACTTCTATCTATTAATGCTAGATGGCTATTGGGGAAAAAAATAATTTAACTTTTATATGGTC